TTACTCATCACAATTTTAAGAATATTTAGTCCAGTTATACCGGTCTATATATTTTGCAATATCTCCAAATTCATATAAAATTCACATATGTATATATATGAATGTCCGGATGAAATGAAATTACCATTGCGAATTTAAATTAGGACAATAAAATAGTCTAAAATCCTATTTACCGGTGAAAGATTATTTTGACTGATTTTGATTGATTTTGTCGTTACGCTGTTGTTCTGGGTTATTAACGGGAATCGTCCGTCTTTGCCATTCACCGCTTTGGTTCCGTTTTTACAATTTTAGAGAACGGTTTAAGTATTAAATCTGATTAAAATAAAAAAATATGATCTAATTTTTCATTTTAACCTTAAATTCCATAGAAAATTTTAATAAATTTATTAATTTGAAAAAGAACAAAAATTTACAGCAAAATCAGTTTGTCTGCATAACAATAAAAAAAGGCTTAAAACATAACATAAACCACAAATGAAGCTCTTAAAGAAAAACATAATTACCTTCTATATTTCAATTAATCTTCTAAATAAAAATAAGGAAAAAAAAAACAAAAACATTAATAAAAAATGTTGTTAACCTCAAAAAAATCTTCAAAACTTTTAAACTTTAATGAAACAACAAAAACCCTAAAAATATTTTATTTTTTTAATTTTACTATTTTTATTTCTTATGTACCATTTTCATACATACATTCATACATTTATTTACATACATAATATGTGTACAGAGTTTAATGGGTATTAGAAAGGTCAAAAAATGATTTATCAAAGTCAAAAACTGAATTTTCTCTATACATGATATTTTGATTTATATACAAATATTATATAAGATGACATAGAGAATGAAATAAGTAGAAAAAAAAAACAAAAAATTTAAGTTTTTATTATAAAATTTCAATATACTTTTATGCTTTGATAATGTTATTGTCATTTACTGTCGTAACATCGAAATAAGATTGTCACCTCATCACTTATTATTGAATGCTATTAATGTTTTTAAATTGTATCAGTAAAATATGAGAAGTGAGAGAGAATGTTTACCTTATTTAATACTATGTATGATATTATGACAATAATGTTCCAACATACGAGATTATTCATAATAGTACAATTATGCCATATTTATGAGTTACATTAAGATTACGCATGCATAGATAATTAATATTACAGTTGATCATGGTATTTGAATATTATGTTGAGAGAGAATAAATTTTCAGAACAAAAATTTTTAATTTTTAAAAATTACAACAAAAATTTTAAATCCCCTTAATAGGTATAACTTGCTCTCGATCTTCTCCCTATCTTTAAAAAAATTAAGATTCTGAAATACAGTTAACTTCTTATTTAGGTCCAATAAAATGAAAAAGATTAAAAGAAAAAAAAAGCTCTTTAAAATTGTGTGTGTGTATGTACTACCTTATTTTTGATTTAATTCTCTTTTTTAAATTTCTTTTCAACACTTAAAAAAAGTTTTCAAAATCTTCTTTGATTTAATCTCAATAAATAACGACGATAGAATGTTACTGTACACATGAACTTGGAAAAATAAGAAAAAAATCTATTATATACAGTTTGTATGTACGTATTTACACATATGTATATACAATACATAAAATTAATGACTTTAAATTTATTCACAATATTTCATACACACATATACATAAGTACCTAAAAATCTTCAATCAATTATTCTAGAAAATAAGGTACAAAATTACGTACATATTAGATTTAAATGGGAATAGAAATTTTAAAGAAATCTGAGCCTATAACAAAAATCTAGTGCATTTTCATGTTATAAATAAAATATTTATTAATTTATTAATAATAAATTTTTAATACAACCTTACGGCAAAGGTAGAACTTAATTTTATTATAAATTTCTATTTTAATTGTGCTCTAAATTTCCTAGGTTAACCACTAATCAATTATGTTATAAAAAAATATGCTAATAAAGAAATAAGTCGAAAATATTCATGATGCCCAACCTTCATAATAAAGTTGAGAAAAACGAAAAATAAATCATTAATTAAAGTAAATAAGAAAAAAATTTTCTCAATAAAATTCCCTTAGTGGAAATTTTTTTTTAAATTGAGTTTTCTTGTACTTTCAACAGATGTCATTTTAAATATTTCTAATATGAAATTTAGAAAAGCAATCAATTAAACAAGAATTTTTAGATTGAAATTTTATGCTTTTTAATTGACCGAAAATATTTGAAGATTTATCAAATTAATGCAAATAGAATGTAAGTTTGATAAATGGACTTAATATTAACATTATAACTTTTTATACAGAGAGTTCAATACGGGAATTATTTTGTAGGTATCACAAAATTAAATGTGAAACAAAAAACGCTCAATTGAGTCTGTATTCAAACTGTATGCAATCTTGTTCGTCGTTAATTAAATTTAATGAAATTTTTGCAAAAAATCCAAAATACTTCATCCTATTTTCACTTTAAATAAAATTTAAATACAGTATGCATTCCCGGTAAATCTAAGAAAATAATTAAATAATTTTATTAATGCAAATATTTAAAGCAAAATTATATTGTTTTACTATTACAACTTCTATTACACAATTCAAAAAATTAATAAATATTATTTGACAGCATTAAATGACAGCAATACTAACCACTTTTCGGTAAATGTTACTTAGCTAATTACTTAGAAATTAAAAAGAAAACTTTACTTTAAATTACATTAATTAAATATGCAAGAACAAACAATAGTTAATGAACAGCAAAGATTTTAAAATGAATTTAATATTTAAGAATTAAGAAAAATTTCTAGTATGTACTTTAGTATGTAAATTATTTCTCCCCACTCAATTGACACAAATAATTATTTCCACCCTCTTTTTTCTTTTTGTTTTTGCAATGAAAGTTCAAGGAGCAATTAATTTCCTTAAATTAATTATTTTCAAGTCTCGACTTAACTTGTTATAACTAGATTTCAAGCCAGTTTTAAAATCTGGTAATTTGAATATTTTGACTCTAAAGATGAACCTATCATATATGGTTTTAATTATTAAATTAAAAAAAGAAAAAAAAATTATTTGTCTGGAAAACCAGAAAAATCTTGCTTTAAATCAAAAGTTCAAAATTTTGGTTATCATTTATTCCAAAAATAAGTCAAAAAAAGAATTGCCATGATTTAAAAAAAAAAAAAACAAATTAAACTCAATAACCTGGTTAACGGGAGATAATCATAACGCCTTATATAAAAAAGTACACAACTCTTAATTTCCTGCAACAAATGTTTGACATGTGGGGAATATTTTTTTGTATACTAAAAATTGATTCTATATGAAAACTGTAAGAGTTTATGATTAATTCGTATTTTTTTTCCTAATTTCAATTTTTTAATACATAATATTGTACAATTTAACTCGTTTTGCATAACAATTTGTAATGATAACGAAAATGAATACAAAATCTTTATTGATTTAAAGCCTTGACTTCTCTTAAATAAATACGCGTCAGAAATCTGAATTGAACTTTTTGATTTTTTCCTTTTATTTTTTTGTACTTATCATTTTCATAATTTATTATTTTAGCAAAATAAAATATTTTTTTATTGTGATTCTGAATTACAAATATTTTAAGTATAATAGAATATGAAAATCTTTATAAAAAACAAAATTTAAGAAAAAAAATATACAGTACTACTCAGAAAAATCGAATATGACATCTAGCGGATAATTATTGAGTTATTTTTATTTTTACTTTTGGATGGCATAGCAATGTTGCAATTTATATACAAATATAGGACCAAAACTATACTTTTTTTTTATTTCAATAACATAAATTTTAAATTATAATTAATGGCAAAAAAGGGGGGATCTTACATTTCTAAAGTTGCACCTTTATTTTTACATAAATTACATTCTTATTATGTATGTCAGTCAAAAGTTGTAATGAAGTTGCTCAAAAGCATAGGTGAAATCATTCAAATATATGCCATTAAGTTCAATTGGGAATTGTTTAAAACAAAATTAAGCAACATCCATTTTGTAAATGTAATTGCAAATGTTCCGCAAATAAAGCCCTTACAATAAATGTTTATTAAACAGTTTTCTTGCTTTTTTTTTTTTAAAGATTTTGGCAATAATGCATTGCTGAATATTTGCGTTTTGACACGTCATTCTGAACTTTTATTAGACGTCATTAGGTTTTGTAAATTCTATTCTTCGAAATTTTTAAATAATTTATATAGAAAATTTTAAATATATAATTATGAAAAATAAAAGCATCTATTTTAGTATTTAGTAGAAGAGCTACTTTAGAGAAGCCTACAAAACATAAGCTTTACAACTTGAATCATATGATATTTGCAAAAATTTTTGGTTTGGAACTTGAATCATGTGACATTGCTAGTTTTGCTAGTTTTGCAAAAGTTATGTCACGGAAACTTTACAATATTTGTCAAATTATGCAGTATATGTCAAAATTTGCAATACTTAAAAAAAAACAGTTCTTTACTGTAGCTATTTTTCATTTTTATTAAGTATGAATTTATATATTATTGTTTTTTATTTTTTAAATAGAGCGATAATTAATGAGACATGACGAAATAATTAATAAAAAAAATAATATTGAAATTTATTTATATAAAAAAATTTTCATATGATTGTTAATCCGTTATCAATTTATAAAAATGTTCTTATTTTGAAGAATTTAAATTATTCGAAGTGTTTTTTTTTTAATTGACGTATACATATATTTACATAGTTTAATGTTTATAGTGTAAACACTCATTGTTTTTTTGTAATTTCACTTATAAATTACCTCAGCGACAAATCAAAATACAAAATATATTTTGTCATGTTTATTTTGTTTTAATGATAAGAATCTCAATCAATTTCAGAGAAGCCCCCAATGAAGATTTTATTCAATATTTGTTTCCCCTCTAGATTCTATAAGACGAAAATGTTTTTTTTTTTGTTGTTTTTTTTCTCAAATAATTTGTATATAAAAAGGAGTATCGCTTTTAAAATGTAATTTAGTTGCAATTCTACAATAAAATCGAATCAAGCTAATTGTTCTTAATTCGGGAAGACGCTATTTAATTAAAAAAATTAATATTAAACAAAAATTTATAAAAAACATCATTTTATATATAAAAAAAAAATAAAATAAGAAAAATGACAAAAATTAATGATTGTGAAAGATCGGAAGCCGATTGTAAAATCGAAAATTGTTCGAAAAAAATTCGTAAAATGGCAAAAATAATTGATGGCAAGAAAATTGCCGAAGAAATTCGTAAAGAGATGAAAGAAGAAGTTAATCAATGGATTGAAAAAGGTAATCGTCGACCACAATTAACAGCAGTATTAGTTGGTTCGGATCCAGCAAGTTGTGTTTATGTACGTAATAAAATGAGAGCAGCAGCTGATGTCGGTATCGATAGTATAACAAAAAATTTACCATCAGATATAACCGAAAAACAATTATTAGAATTTATAGAAGAATTAAATAATGATAATAATGTTGATGGTATTTTAGTTCAATTACCATTACCCGAACATATTAATGAAAGGACAATATGTAATGCAGTATCATGTGATAAAGATGTTGATGGATTTAATGAAAAAAATGTTGGTAGACTTTGTCTTGATATGAATGCATTAATACCATGTACACCATTAGGTGTACAAGAATTATTAAAACGTAGTAATATTGAAACATTTGGTAAAAAAGCTGTTGTTGTTGGTCGTTCTAAAAATGTTGGTATGCCAATATCAATGTTATTACATGTTGATGGACGTAATGATACTGATGGTATGGATGCAACAGTAACAATATGCCATAGATTTACACCACCAGAAGATTTAAAAATGTATTGTAAACAAGCTGATATTATAATAACAGCAACTGGTGTACCAAATTTAATAAAATCTGATATGATTAAACCAGGTGCATGTATTATTGATGTTGGTATTACAAGAATAACATGTCCAGTAACTGGTAAAACAAAATTAGTTGGTGATGTTGATTTTGAAAATTGTAAAGAAATTGCTGGTTGGATAACACCAGTACCAGGTGGTGTTGGACCAATGACTGTTGCAATGTTAATGCATAACACAATATTAGCTGCTAAAAAATTAAAAGAAAAACGAAATAATATGAACATATGAAAATTTTCCTACGTGAATTGTACTTTTTAATTAATTATTTATTAAAATTTTATTTTATTCTAATTATATAAAATATTTCAATAACGTTAATATGAAATTTTAGAATGTAGGAAATTAAATTTGTAATAATATTTTGAATAAAAGTTCATTTGTAGTAATTAAATTACGTTTTAATTAATTTTGCAATTCTTCAAGAAAAGAATTACAAAAAATATTACGTCAGCTATTAAAAATTAATATGAAATAGACATCAGTTTCAAAAATACATAAAATTTATTGCCTTGAGAATTTGAATTGTGATAATATTGATAAGATTAATTGGTAACCGATAAGAATATTTTTTTATCTAAATTTTGATTAGAGAAAAAAAAATTTTTTTCGCTTTAAAATTTTTAAAATTTTGAAAAACTTTTATAAAATTTACAATATTTCCTGAATTAAATGTAATAAAAGTTCATATCGCAATATGTAACATAAATATTTATTTTGTATGTATGTATGTACACACATAAGCATAGATAAGAGCTGCTATAAAAAATATTAATCATCATAGATGTACTTCAACCAAACTCTATACATGTAATAAATTTGAGCTTTACACGTAAGCAACAGCATGCATATTAGGTAAGAATTATTATTAAGACTTTTCTTTAAATAAATCAAAACGTTGCGAATGATGTAATGATTTCTGTCAGTGTTGCAATATTAAGGGATTTTTCCCATTTTCATCAATAAAGAAAAAGTTAAAAACTGGAAAAGGAAATTAAACGAATTATATGGGAGTTTACCGTAAAGATGCAGAATTTATTCACTTTTCTTCTTAGAATTACTTTGATTGTCAATTTTATTTGATTATGTATAGAATCGTCTTACTTATACGATGATTTTTTGCATATAATTTTTTTGCATATCACTTTAAAATTCTCCTGTTTATATTTGTGTTTGGTGACTGTGAGATCATTTATGAGATTTTTAAATTTTTTGTAGGAATTTCAAGATAAAGCAGCTGTTTATTTTGTTGGAATCTTCAGAATCTTAGTATTGCAAAACTGTTGTAAAAACAGTGTTTATTTAATCGAAGTATCGCCTTCAATTTTGTTTATGCAGAAATATTGGCGTAGCATTTGAAATAGTTTTGAATGCGTAGAATGTTCAGAAGGCAAAAATAAAATTTGGTAATGCATTTGACTAATTGTCAAACATTTAAATCAAATGTCAAAAACATACGATTTTAAAAATTTAAATGTCAAATTCTTTACACAACGAAACGTAATACTCTGTAAACATTTTACAATACACTTTCTTTTACGAATTAAAAATGTGCATGAATTAAAAAAAAAATTACAAATTTAAGTGTAATTAAACAGGAATTATTATTTTTTTTTTTTTTTTTTAAAAATTTAAATAAATTTTTTATTACCACCTCAAAATTAAACCACAATCAAAAATACATGAAATAAACACTTTGACGTTTTTTGTATTTACTTACCCTAATTTCATGAAAATAAAAATGTAAATGTGTTTTATAAAATTTAGGTGTATAATAGTGTCAAAATTTGAACTTTTATCAATGAAAATTGTTTTTGTATAATGCCGAAAATTAATTTTCATTTCCTTTTTGTCTTTGTTTTTTTTTTTTATTTTTCTTCTTTTTCTTTTGTGTTTCTTTTCAAGAACATCACTGTCACACTATGAAGTTAAAAACGATAGCACCAGAAATAATATGATTGTATGTGTAAGCGCACATGTTAATTACAATATGTACATACATTGGAATGTATGTGTATTATATTGAATATATCCGGGAAATAAGGCGAGGTGGAAAGTAGTTTTGTTATTCTGGTAATCGAAAAAAAAGATAATAAAAAAAAAAACTTCCTAGTAAGTCGTGTGACATCATGCGTAACGAAAAAAGAGAAAAATTTTAAAATTTATTAATTAATAAAACAAATGCTTTTACGAGTATATAGTGGAATAATTAAAGTTAAAAAATTTTTTTTTTAACTAATTTTAATTTAATTGTAATAAATTATAAGAATTATGTAATATGCGCATTTTAAATTTTAAGGTCAAGTTATCATAATATTGCTTATTATGTTATGTAATTCACCAAAAATAATACAAAGGAGAATAATATTAAAAGGTGTAAATTAAATTAAAATTTTATAAACATTAGGAAATTTTCTGGAGTATAAAAATCAAGATCCTGATCAGGGTTAATATTTAATTTTGACACAAAACTTTATTATCGACGATAGGACTTGCGCAACGTTTCAAATATTTTGATTTCTCTTATACATAATTTATAATTTCAAAATCAAATTGAATGTAGAAGAAAAAAATATTCCGCATTTTTAGTTTAAATTTAAATTTTTTAGGTATTTTTGGATAAGTGTATCAGCAATTTTCTAAGAACCAACTTAAAATTAAAAAGTATTCAACTAAGATTTCAACACGATTTGTTTACCATTTATTATTGAATTCAACTAGGAAGAGAATAACATAAAAAAACACAGCATGATTATCGGCTCATTTAACAATTTAAAAAACCTTTTTATTAATGTTAAATTTTAAACAAAAATTTATATATAAGTACATGTTATATCTATAGTGCATTAAATTCTCTGAATAAATTCTACATGTACATTAAGTTACTTAAATATTAACATTACAATTCTAATTCTATAGATAGTATGTGAATTATAATAAACACTAACGCATTATTCATTACACAAGTAATCATGAATGCTTGTACCATGCTAAATTTAATTTGTTAAGAAATGGTCATTTGCTTATTTCCAAAAATTACAACCATATGTACGTGCACATTGTATTATTTTACTTTTTGTAACAGCAAAATTAGCTTAACTTGTAAATAAAATAACAGCTTACGTCATTTCAGAAAAATTCGGTTGTATTTAAAAAGTAAAATAAAGAATTTTTTTTTATTATTGCTCTTTCTTTCTGTCTTCAATAATTATTTTAAATTTCATTTTAAATTAAGCAATTTTTGTTTGTAAATAAATTCTTGTGCGGTTTACTTTTTCTCTTTATCTGTATAGTATCTGTAACCTCTTTAGAACTTCGAACTTAATTTATACAATATACGGAGACCCAAGCAACAGAAATTCCTAAATTATTTTCAATATTTTTTTTGCTTTTTTTTTATACAATTTTCAAATTCTTACAAAAATTTCTAATTTTTCTTTTAATATTTCAAATTACAGATGGACATTGAAGTCAGCAAGAAAAATATTCTTAAATTAATATTTTTTCTCCATTTTTATCACATCATAGACTAATAAATTCTTAGAAAGTTTTAATTAAGAAAGTATAATAGTTTTGAATGCACAATTGTGTTTATTTGATTATCTAGGCAAAATACGCATACATATATATATATGTATACGTATTATTTTATTTGTAGAAAGGAATTTTAGAAAAAAATTAAATACTTTGTCAAAATGAAAAATTTTTCCGACATTATTACCTTTGTATAAACAAAATATTTTTAAATATTTTTCATGAATGCCAACAAAATTATATTAATTAGTTTAATATAAATTAGATATACATATATGTATGTATGTACATAATTGGAATAAAATTATAAATTATTCGCAAATGATCTATTTATTTTAATATGTTAGTTCTGACACATGACGTACATAAGTATGAAAATAAAATAAATTTACAACCTGTTGTGAATGTCATTCCCTATCAAATACACTTTTATATAGTGATTTTTTTTATTTCAATGTGACCATTGCCATAATATTACAATAAAGGTACCACAAGCAGACGAAAATTTGACATTTGCAAATTCATTTAATAAAATTTAACAAAAATTTTAATACAATCAATTAACCATTTACTTATAATAACAATTATTATGCATTCTAATTTACTGGTTGAAGTTTTGAACATTAAGGAATTCTACTTCTTTTATATTTTGTGTTTGTCAACTTTTTTTTAAAGTGAATAAATATAAAAATTGAATATGGCAGGTGTCTACCTATACTAATACTTAAACAATACACAATCAAAAACGTGTTAATTTTTATTTGGAAAATTGCAATAAATTTAAAAAAATACAAAAATTAACATTAAAAAAAAATCGCTAACTTTTCAAGTACACACTTGATAAAATAAAAATTAATTTAATTTGAATTGAAAATAAAACAAAAATTGATAAGAAAATAATTTTAAAGTGTGTGTATGTATGTGACAGTAGAATAATTTTTAACACGTGATTATTATGATTCAATGAAAGTTTTTTTAATTTAATTTTTCGATAAGTGTATATCTACACATATATGTACATACATACAATTCATACTAATTATATGTAATTTTAATTTCAATGAAAATTTAACGATTGAATGAGTTTCAATGCCATTGTTAAAAAGAAAAATTGATTATTTAATATACATACATATGTATGTATGGTTAAGAGAAATTTGTCTAAAAGGTAATAAATAAATGTTATACATTTACATACAGATACATGGAATATAACTAATATTTATTTGATATAACTAATATTTAATTATGTACATTTCAAACTCAAATCAATAGGAAAAGTAATTACTTGAAATTAATTTATATCTATTTGCAGTGTGCCAACACTGACACAAATTTTGTGGTTGCGTTTAATATATGTAATTTTTTTAAAAAGTTAAAAAAGTAATTCAATTAAAAATGGCTAATTACAAATATGTATGCATGTACAACAAGATCGATGGTAACATATCTGACATTATTGACATATCATTGTAATTATATATCGAACGAAAATTTATAATTTTTGATTTATTTTATATTTAAATAATAGGAAATATTCTTCAATACTAGTGTACTAGTAAACTTAATTGTCGCCATTTTATTTATTCAAAATCAGCCTTTAAAATTAGATTAGAAAGAAGTAAGTTCTATATCTTTTGCACTGTCAAATAAAGTCTAATGTCAAACAACTTTGACATATCACACGGTCATTAAAAATGATAAACAATAGTAGATTTTGTCATCTGTTCTTCTTAAAAATTTAAAACATAAAATATCTTTTTTAATATTTTTCATAATCTGAATAATAATTTAAAATGATTTTAAATATGAAAATTATATACATACATACACACATATAAAAATTTTTATGTAAGTATTCAAATCAATAGACGCGTTACTTCTATTTTAATAATAAATTTCCTATTGTTTCTAAATAAGAAAAAAGATTTCCCTATTATAGGTTAGTAGGAAATTAACACAAATCTGAAGTCTAGTCAAAAAGAGCAACAATATTAAATGTTATACAAAAAAAAATCATAATTTTTTATTTGAAACAATTTCATCGTTAAAAATACTTTAACATTAATTTAAAAAAATAAATAAAACATAATAAAAAAAAATTAATAATATAAATTCAAACACACATTTTTACAATGTGTTAAGATTTCAGAGGCATATTTATTTCATATGTATAACAAAATAAAAAACGTTCTCTTTTATGTCATAATGTAATTTTTCAATTAAATTGTAAATGTGTAGTTTTGTAATTTTCCTTGTTTTATTGTGTGTCAGTCAGTTTTTTTTTTTTTTGTTAATGGTTGCTATTTTTATTGTTCATTCTTTTACCGACTTTTTTAATTTTTATTTTCTTTCTCTTTCCTTTTTTTTAATATTGTTATTGCAAAAAAAAAAACTGAACCAATTCAGCAAAGACTATTCACATCAATTCATTAATTAGTGACCTCCGGCTTATAA